TTATCATGATGTAAAACAAATCTTTGCCCTTCTTTCTTCATTCCTTTGCCCTTTCTTTTTCCTTCCGTCCCAGTTTTCTAATTAATAATTTCTTATCGCAAGAGGAAATTGATAAGTAGAGAAATTTAATCAAAATCACCAGAGTACATCCGTTTACAAAATAGTTACTAATTGTTGCTCAACATATTTGTTAATATTTGTTATTAATCTGTAAAATAAAAAATACACTTAACGAGATTATTATTTGATTAAACAATCCAGGTAGAGCAAGCATATGTCATTTAACGTCAAAAAGGCGTTATTTTGACATTTAATGACGTTTGCTACTTGGGAACGTATATACATAAAAATTCTCTATTTCTCACAAAATAAAATATTAAGGAAATGTATTATTGAATTAAATTGTATTGTATTATCTGGAACCTGACGATTTTCTCACAACTAGTATATTTAATAACGACCACATGTTGCCTAAGAAAAAATGGAGTGAATACGAAGTGAAACAGCGCGTAGTTTATTATTTCCTCTGGATGTAAAGAGAGTCGCGGGTATCTTTTTCGGCATCCGGCCGAATTTAAAACCGTTTGAATTATATATATGGACACGAATCTCCCCTATCGCACATACATGCACACAAAGTGTATATAACTTCGTATCTCTTCGTACAACGAGATGTATCTCCAACTTCCTCTTTTCTTTTTGACGCATCGTCAGAGTTTTCATCGGATAATAATATGTGGATGTTACAAAATTTTCATTTCTTATCAAAAATGCACATCTCGATTTTATAAAATTCTAATAATTCATAATTCGTAATCCAAATGTTTTTTCACCGGAAGTGCGATCGACCGATAATTAATTATTTATCGCTTAATTCGAACGGAAAATAAAGGGGCAAGGACCCGGGGGGGTTTGTAGGGCTTCCCTCTTGCATTTACAAGATGTTCTGGAAACCGGCATGAGCGGGCTATTATATGAACGCAGGTGTCGGTGCAGATGTCGCGTAGCAGACGGCTTCGCTTGCGGTACCGTCTCGAAATTTAATAAAACGTTCGCGGAGAACGAGAGAGCAAAGAAAGAAAGAGGCCGTATTTATTATCGGTTACCGTTTTACATTCTAATTTGTGATATATACATTTTTTTTATCTGTACCGCTAAAAATAAATTAGGCTTCTCGAGAGACTCATTAAAGATATGCGTGATTGCAAAATTATCCCTAGTTGAATTAAAATTCATTTAAATTTTTTTAAAGAAAGATGTTTTATATTTATTCTCCATAATAAGGTTCTTTTATTGTGGAAAATCATTTTTCTCGAAATTATTTGCTAGTTCCTGAAAAAATATATCGTATTAAAGAAAAACAAAGTGATACTTATTTATTTTCATTATTTCTTTCAGTCTTATATATCTATATATATAATATTGAAAATATTTATGGACGCGCCGAATGTCATATTTATCTATTTTGTCATTAAAAAATTAAGTGTACTGACACAATATTTTCGAAATTCTGCCATGAATTTTATAAGTAATTAAAAATAAGATAAATAATTTATATTTTTTTCAATTAATTCTATCGATACTAATAGAAAATGTATTATTCCAGGTAGAAGTCGAGATGTTGTGATGGCTGGTAAATCACGACGTTCGAGCACAGAGCTCGAACCAGATCTATCGACGCCAACGGCTCCGAAAAAGTCCAAGCAAGCCGAAAAATCGTCCACGGAGCCCTTAACGGAGGTTCGGAGTACCGAGACACCGTCCACGAGCGAGATATCTTTGCAAGCGGAAGTTGTGCTGGTCCAGGAAAGAGGAGAAGAGGAAAAACGACGAACGGGATTGTCCGAGCGATCGGTTTCGGTCCATGAAGCAACGATCGAGCGAACGGATCCAAGGATCTCCGAACGAGAGAAGGCGGCGACCTCGGGCGAATCGGTCCCGGGTACTTCGAAGGAGGAACAATCGGCACTCTGAAATCTATTGTAATGAAGTATAGCGAGCAGAGCGACGAGCTCCCTGGTCTTCCCGGAAGCAGACCGAAATGCGAGACGACCGTGCAGAGCTTTACGTTGCGCGAACACGCGTCCTACGAAGACCTTTTGTTATCGGGAACGGTGCCTACGGTACGGTGTACAAGGCGAAGGACAGTCCAGCGGTCAAATTGTAGCGCTTAAGAAAGTTAGGGTACCATTGACGGACGATGGCTTACCCATGTCCACCCTGAGAGAGATCGCTGCTCTAAAGTCGCTCGAACGCTACGAACATCCAAATATTGTGAGTATTAGTAACGATAAAATTTCTGTTGATGTATGCAATATCAATATGTCACTTTATATACATATAAAAAAATAATATTATTTTTTCGATATATTTATGGATATGTACTGATGTTTTTTCTCCTTTGTTCAGGTCAGATTACTCGATGTCTGTCAAGGAGATTATCTTCACTTACCATCGGGTGATGGTGAACAACCGAGAGACTAGACCGTGGTCTCACCCTCTGGTTGGTGTTCGAACATGTGGAAAGAGATCTCGCTTCCTATATAGCCAATTATCGAGATAGCTCTCCGCGATCGGGCATCTCGCCGTATCTCGTGAGGCAAATGTTGAAAGAAATACTATATGGAGTGGAGTTCCTACATAGCCATAGAATAATACACAGGGATTTGAAACCGCAAAATCTTTTGGTAACGCGGGAAGGAAGAATCAAAATCGCGGATTTTGGTTTAGCCAAGACCTACGACTTCGAGATGAGATTAACTTCCGTGGTACGTGTGAAAAAAAATTTATATAAAGAAATCTATTTGTTTTGTTAATTTTTATATTATTAATTTTTTCAATATTAAATCTGTAAGTAAGGATTTATGTGTCAGTATTAAAATAATTGATGTTTTTTAACTGGCAAGTCAGTTCATGTCAGTTATATCTATAATATGTCTCTCTGAATAGAACATTATTTGGCATCGATAAAACTTCATGTTGTTCTATTATAGGTTGTGACTCAATGGTATCGAGCACCTGAAGTACTTTTAGGATGTTCCTATGCTACCCCTGTAGATATCTGGTCTGTCGGATGTATATTGGCAGAACTTTGCAAATTGGAACCATTATTCCCAGGTAGTAGCGAAGGTGATCAACTCGACAGGATTTTCCAGTGAGTTATATATACGATTCTCTCTGTTATTTTTTTTAAAACTAAATTTTTGAAAATTTTTCTCTGTTATTATTGTCCTTTCCCATATTAGAGTTTTAGGCACACCGTCGCAGCAAGCATGGCCACAAGTATCACTCAGTTGGACAGCTTTCCCAACAGACAACCTAAACCTCTTGGTGCAATAATACACAGATCTCAAGAACATGGATTAGACTTAATAAGAAGTATGCTCATGTTTGATCCTCATAGTCGTATAACCGCAGCACAAGCAGTAAGACACCGATACTTTTCTGAAGAAGCTATACAATGAAGATGTACACTGAAGAATATACACTGAAGAATATACAATGTTCGTAAGTTATCTAGATCTACTAGTAAACTCAGACTGATGTAACTGTATTCAGGACTAAAAACATTTCTCCATAATAAGTACGCTATAATAGTACATAAGATTAATAGTTGATTAATTAAACCTCTAATATATGAGTATTAAGAATCCCACTTGTGCGTTACAAATTCAATTAACAATTAAAATTAACTGTTTAATAGTTAAATTCAATCTGTTGTATTAAATAGTTGATAATAGTCGTTATGTAACCCTTATATTTTATTTTTATATAGTTAATTTCCCTGTAGTTAAGTTATTTAGAGTAAACATAATGAAACGTCATAATTTGCAAAACAACCTATGATATTTAAGTAAATATAATTTAAGGGCTTCTAGGGTACCTTAATATACAATGTGAGATGAGACAATTATTATTTTTGATATGTTATTTATTTACATAATGACGTTAATATTTCAGTCAATCATCTTTTTATAAAGATGTTAAGAATTATGTTTCTCATTAATTCTTTTATATACATTATCGTGTTTAACAGCTTAGTTGTATACATATGACATTAATAGGATAGTTAAGTAAAATGCGTATAACTGGAAAGAAAATCTGAAAGAAAATATCTATAATAGTATGAAAGCGATTGTATGTATATATCGCGAATACCTTATTTAACTTTAGTTCAACTATATAAAATTGACATAAAATTAAGGTAACAAATATGTGTATGTATATTTTTCTAAGACTGGGACTTTATATAATCCATTAGAGACATATGTGAAAGATTAGAATCTTCCATAGAAAACCAGAAAGCGCACTGCCATATCTTGTATGTACCATGAGCCATTAAAATAATCATATAATATATATTTTTCATTAATGTATAATATTGACGAGTGTATAGAGCAATAATATGACAATATTTATTATGTCAGTTCGTTTAATGTGCATTATTGCGTATTAAAGATAATACAAAAATATATACATAAATATATTGTTAAGAAGACTGTATCATAAAATAAAAGTTTTATAGTTTTATATGCAGGATTTGTCAAGTTTCTTAATTACATAATATTATATTCCTTTAATATATTTATTAAAGAATAAACATTTATTTTAAACACTTTTAGAATCATATAGATTTGAATAACTATTCAATTTAAGAAAAAATTAACTTTAAATTTCAAACAATTTTCAGTGCATTGAAAATTCGCGCGCTTAAAGCGCGTTCCGTTGAATTGCATTGCACGTGGGATTATTTTATCTTTGTTGTTAATTGAAAATTAAACAAAGACAGACGTTGCAAACTGCAAGTGGAACGCGCTCTTAAAAATTCATGTCAGGTATGGCTACGTTTACGTGAATGTGAGATCTTAAAATTTTGTGATTGTAAACTGCAAATAGAACAGATAAAATATAATAATATAGCGAAATTTAATATTGAGAATACAGTTATATTTATTAAATATGCGCCTGTGACATCGTTGCTGCTCCTCGACATGAATTATTATCGAACTTTGCCATAAGCGCGTGTAGACATTTAGGTTATCTCGGTAGTCGACCTAACTGTTCTGTCAGTTTGCGAAAAATGGCGACCGAGGTGGAGAAGGCACAATCAGCTGTGCCGGAAAGCGATACGATATTTGGAAAAATACTGCGAAAAGAAATTCCATGCAACTTTATTTACGAGGATAATCAGGTAAATTATGACATGATGTACAAATTTTGAAAGGTACACGTCGTTTGTTGAATTTTCGACATAAATCGATTTACCGGCGTTCTATAACTTTATTTCCAACACATCATTGAATATCAAATGCTATTTTAAATATAATTTTGTATGTAGATTATTATTCAAAATATAGTGAATAAACGATGTAAATATCTAAATATTTTCAAATATTAAAATATTTTAAACTATATTTTAGAATTCAGAAAGGTACATTTTATCTACTCATCTAAGAAAGATTGTTATTGCATTGCAAATTATTTAAATTTGTTATACCGGCAAAAGTAACTTGCAAAATCAACCACATTTATGTAACCACATTGTTTTTTTGCTGAGTTGTCATAGTAAACATGTTGACTTTAATTATCTCTAATCTTAAAAGAGAATTATAGATTAATATTAATATAGAAATCATGTATAAAATATTTCTTATTAATGGAAATAACTTGATTTATAATTTTCTGAAGAAAGATTTGTAAAAAAAAAATAAATTTTGATTAAATATAAATATTAATATACACAACAATATAATTTCATTATATTTAAATTTTACAGTGCGTTGCATTTGATGATGTAAATCCTCAAGCACCTGTGCACTTCTGGTGATTCCACGGAAACCAATTCCGCAGCTTTCCAAAGCTCAAGATGAAGATGAACCTTTACTTGGCCACTTGATGAATATCGCTCATAAAGTTGCAAAGCAAAAGGCTTAACAAATGGATTTCGCTTGGTTATCAACGATGGAAAAATGGTGCACAGTCTGTGTATCATCTGCATTTGCATGTCCTCGGTGGTCGACAATTGGAATGGCCACCTGGCTAATGTGTCCATTTGCACAAATATACAAACAGCATTTTTATTATAAATATAAAGTATGAATCCAGTAGTAAGGATAAGGGTGTGTTGTTTTATCAAATTTTTCTAACTTAAATATATCTAAAATGTATGCCTAAAAAATATTATATAAAAAAGTACGCTATGATTAATAGTGTGTGTTTGTATATTATAATTGTGAATGATTAACAATACACAATTATAATGAGTTATATGTCTTATATTTTTATTATATACATACATAGAAAAAATTTTATAAAAATAGTGTATCTGTTATGAATAGCTTCAATAACTAAAATGTTGAAGTTTCTGCTAATTATCTTTTTCATATACTTCATATACAAATTGGATTCCTTTTCTTCTTGGATATCTTGTGGCACAGCTGGATCTCTGAATTAGATTAGATGTGTAAAGCAGAACAGCATTGATATGAAATGTTAAATGCACAATATAGAAAAATATTGATGCTTACTTATCAGTACAAAATTATTTGGAATAGGAGGGAAGAATGTATCGCATTCAAATTCTTTCTTTATACGTGTCAAATACAATCGCCCAAAATATGGAGATTCCATGGCGTTCTATATGGACATACAAGAATCATTATTTGATTTAAATCTAGACTATCAATATATATGCCTGTTATTAAAACTTTTTTTTTAGTCACATTTTCTATACTTTCTGTCATTTTTCTTTCCTTGGTTCTAAGTAGTGAATATATACTTGTTTTATTTTAATTATAAATAGAAAGTGATATGTGTAAAAAAAAAAACAGATTTATATTTTGAAAATGTCACACATTACCTTGTACACTTTACTTCCTCCTATTACCCACACTCTTTCTATTTGATTCTGCATTTCTGTATCAATTCGATAGCATGTGGTATACTTTTACATGTTATTGCCTTATCTCCATAATCCCTAAATTGACACAATTCAGTATTTTTTTTCAAAAAATTAAATTGTTTATTCATAAATAATTCTCATCCATAATTACAGTGATTGTGATGTTAACACCATATTTATGCGGTTCTCTAAAGGTCGATACTTTTCAGGGATACATTCCCATGTATGCCGACCCATAAGTACAACATTCTTTTTATTTTTATCCTCTGTATCAGTTGTCATAGTGTAAAGTATGCCATTTCAGTCCTGTAAATTCAGATTTATTTATAGATGAATGTTTAATAACAACTTTGTATAATTATTGAAGATCTTACTTTAAACGCCAGGGTAAATCGCCATTTATTCCAATGCCCATATTTTCACATGCTGCGGCAATTAATTCTAATTTAAGTGGCATATTGACACGCGAATAATAATGCAATGATCCTGAAAAATCACACATGATATGATATAGATTATCACAAACTATAACTAGTCAATAATGATTCTTCTTCAATTTTTTTTGTTGAGCTGTGCTGATCTTGCTAGGTCATGTTTTGCCGGCTCAATAATAATTGAACTGAGATATTCGAATATCTTATCTCCCTACCACTTCAATTAAAGATAAGAAGGCGAGTGAGTTTATTAAAAAAATATTTAGAACATTGTTTAGCTATATTATTACTTTCTGAAAAATATAAGGAAAAAACGTTGCATGTGTAAATATTGCAATTGTGTAAATATTTTTAAAGTAGTAGAATTATATGCTTGTCCAAAAAATAAATCAATGCTACCAACATTTGAATTGTTGGACAAAACAAATAAAGAAAATAATATCGATTTTCTGAATACTCACGATGCATCATTTTGTACAATTTACATATACATATATACACCAATAAAAAATTAATTTATTCCAAACACACGAGAATCCATTTAAATACAATATTATTTATCGAAAATTAATATTGAATTATTTATGTGCACATTTTGCTATATATAACATTGAATTCAAGTTCGTCGTTAAAAACTGCACAAATCCATACATTTAATTATATTTGATCAATCTTATTTACATTATTTCTTATAATTCCAAATACAATATCATCATTTATGTAACAAATTTAAAGCAAATCTGTACAAGGCAGAGAGAGAGAAAAAAGTGTGACACCTCCAAGCTCAACTTGTGGCAGCACAATCTGTATAATCGAATCGACAAAACTCTTATCCTACCGCATAAACATTTATCAATTTCTACGAATTTCTGAACGTGCAGTTTCTGGCTTACAAAAGTAATTTAGTTCGGAAATTTAATATTGTTGAAGTAAGTAAAGGACTTAAATATTAATTTGTTTTTAACAAGTTTTACAAATAGTCCATGACAGTATAAAATATTTTGATTTAATGAATGTTACATGGTTTTCTCAAGAATATTCGTATTATAGTATGTGACTTACAAATATTTAATTCAGTGTTAATATTAATAGCATAGTTAATATTTATATGTATTCATCAAATAATCGTCATTTAAAATCTTTCATTTTTGATTGTGTTGCATCAGAGGTTATATTTGATTTAATTTAAGAACATTTATTATTATGTTTTTTTTTCTAATCAATAATAATCATTAATCAATTAATATGTAATTATTTTTATATGCTTCAGAATGTCTGGTCGAGAAGGAGGTAAAAAAAAGCCTTTGAAGGCACAAAGAAGGATTCAAAAGTTATGGACGATGAGGATGTAGCATTCAAGCAAAAGCAAAAGGAACAACAAAAAGCATTAGCTGAAGCAGCAAAGAAAGCCAGTCAAAAGGGTCCTCTAGTCACTGGTGGTATAAAGAAATCTGGAAAGAATGATCATGTGTCGAATGGATGAAATATGCGATTGAACTGTGCACATAATGTCTGATGTCTTATAACAATAATTTTAAACTGATCCATTGTTATACCGGATTTCTGCGATATCTTTTTTTACAATCCTTATATATTTCGAGAAATGCTTTTAACTTGTAAATAAAAACAGCATGTTGTGTATGTATTTTTCACTTTCTCTGACTTTTTTCATAAAGTATGATTTAAGTCACAATTCATGTACATGAAGGACTATAATTTTTGTTCCTCTTTATTGACAAATTTACATATTTTGCATCAAATACTTTTATTCAAAATTATTTTAATTGGATAAAGACAAATCTTTACTAGTATCAATTATAATTCTCAACAGTACGACTCAATATATTTGACATTAAATTCTGTCTACTGTCTCTATTTAACATTTTTAATATAAATATATATACTAATTGTTAAATTTATAATTTGATAAATATTGTCAGAGAGAAACACTCTCTCTGATATTGTAAAGATTGAAAAAAATAATTGAAAAAACCTAAATTTTTCTGTAATATATGCGATTATTCGCCAGAGGGCTATAGATTTAAAGTTACAACGTTGGCGACCCTGATTGCTAGTGTTGCATCACACGATTAGATTGTGTGTGAAATACAAATTTGGCGTCAATTATGTATAATTGAATTTTGCATTTGCATTCGTGAAGAATATTATGTTATAAAAAATGTGGATGTGGAGGACTCGATTGTCACCGCATCGGATCGTATATTTCCCGGTTTAGCCTATTACGATCGAAAAAAAGAATTTTATGATATAGGTAATATACATTACATTTCGTTTATATGACGGTGCCAGAGAAACGATAATAGTAAATATTCGCGATCGATCCATTAATTAACTTTATGATTAAACAATTCGATATTTTTATTTATTGACAATATAAAATATAATAAAGTAATTTTTTTCATTTTATTACAATTAATTATAAATTTTATGATGATCGATATATATTAATATATTTATGAAAAAATTTGTTTAATTAATTATATTACTTTATTAATTTGACAACTAATTAAAATCATAATTCTTCGTTTTTGCAGGAAATCAGATACAAGCCAATTTGCCACTTCAAATAGCATTATATTTAATGTAGGGAGATTTTCCATTGTGGTTTATTATAATAATTGTTAACTTGGATGCAAAGGTAAATATAATAAAATTTCATTTAAAGTTAGTATTTAAATAAATAGTATTAAATAATAAAGGAGTTATTCTTTATTTTGCAGTATTATTACTTGACAGATGTATACAAAGTTATAACTATAGCAGTATTTATTGTTATATCAACATTGGAAAGTTTACGATTATACTTGGGATATCTTGGAAATTTAGAAGAAAAGGTATATACATAAAAAGACAGAAATTGAAGCAAAATAAATGTTTAAAATATTACTTTCACAGATTCCAGAACTGGCAAGTTTTTGGCTGATATCTACTCTTATACATTTACCTTTAGAGATGTTTCTTCTTTTCGATAATAAAACTATACCTCATCTTAGCGAAACAATTGCTAATGGTGTCATGAGTTTTCTTCTTGTTACGGAATTATAACAGCTACGATAGCTTTAAAACAATTGGCAAATCATCATGCTAAAAGATTTTATGTTGCACAATTATATGGAATTGATAATATAGAGTACATTAATGTATACTGACTTTATTGCTTTCAGATTTTAACAATAATATTGCATTATTATGTAATAATATGTAATCTAATGTGATGATATTAGTGTTAAATCTGAATCAAACTAATTTTTGTATTTTATATAACTTAAAAATATGTTTTAATATATATATCTATATATATATATAATATTATAATGTGTGTGTGTGTGTGTCGTGTGTAGACATTTTATATGAAGAAATTCATAATTTCCCATACATAATAGGAAAACAAAATTTTCTCCTAACTCATTAATTTTTTAAATATAATCTGTTAATTATTTGTTTGTTAATATTTCTCTTTTGGTTTAAAGAGAAATATCAAAACTCTAAAATATATTTTATTACACTACAGTAGCACTTCAAATTATGATCAATTAAAATGTCTTTAAAGCTAGCACATTTCTTTAAATTTATTAAGGACATCTCTGTTATATAAAGTAATTTCCTCTTTATCCAATTCTCCATTGCCAATGACAGTAAAAGTCGAACGAGTAGGTGTCATACGTGACAGGAGCTGTAAACAATATTTTAAGATTTAGACTTTTAGACACCATATTATTATATTTTTAAAATTTATTTTTAATTGCAGTACAACTTTTTCTATAATCTAAATGGTTCTCTACACATGGGAAAATTTTACTTACATTAAACAATTGTTGTGCCATCCAACCATGATATGGCTCTAAAGTTCTTTATATGACTCTTTTAGAAAAGCAAATCTAAATCCTCTGTCGCTTTCCCAGTCTTGTGATCTTCCACAATCCTTTCGAAGAATAGTAAATCATATGTAAGCCCTAAAACAATTAAATAAAAAATGTTATATGTAGATATTGATATTATTATAATATAATTAATAATATATATATCTATTTATATATATCTATATTTATTATATATAAAATTTAAAGAATTTAGTAGACAAATACCTTCTCAACCACATTAAGGCATCAACTTGCAACGAGATCTTCATCAGCAGTTTTTCAAGCAAGATCAGTCTGTAGAGTGAGTTACTTATTTATCCATAGAATACTAGTTGTAAGTTTCTGGAATTGAAAGAAATATTTTGAAAAAATCCATAGAGCGTAACTTAGGAAGTTCCCTACATTAATCTTGTTACACTAACATCAATATTGCCTTGCATGTCGTATCGTACAGGAGCAAACAATTTGCCAAATTTTTTGAAATGAAAATTTGCTTTAGCGTTCGCGTTTTACGTCATGTTTGCAAAATTATTTTGTTCAAGCAACGATTAATCGTGATAATGAGGTTATAATTAAAAATGATTATTAAATTACCGACTGTTCGAACAACATCGCGGGAGGCTTGTAAAAATTCTCCGTATTTATTTTGTCATCGATTATTTCAGAAATGTACTCGATTATCAAATTATCGGAGTACAAGCTCTTTTTGAATGATTGAATCGAAGGATGAATGTTCTCTAACCTTAAAATGTGCGTATTGACCATGTATACATATCTAATGTCAAATAAGACAAAAGAAAATACGCTGATACGTTACTATAAAATTAAAAAATTTTGTAAACTAAATAACAGATTAAACAAGCGTTTCGCGCACGCCAAACAAATTCATTAATCGCTTGTAATTGCACACTTTAAAAAATACAGTAGTTTAAACAAAACTGTCAAAGTTAATTTTTTCAAATTTCAAGACATTCGAATTCTGCATTTTCCATAAATATTTTTCGATAAGAATGTTCTTAACAATAAAAATCATTCTAAACACGAATGAGCAAGTAATTGAAATATCTAAAGTATGACACTTTTTAAAATTTTCGTTTCAACATCGAAACGATCTATCTTCATTAAAGACTTTGAACGCACTTAAAAATGTGTTTTTAATATATATTAATGTGAATCTGACAGCTGACTATAAAAAATTAATTTTTTATACGGAAAATGATAGTACGTCGATCGCTCGCGTCGTCAGTCAAAAATCAAAAATTCAAGTTTTCCCCAAATTAAAAATAACGCAAATCCAAATCAGCAGTCTTATTAAGAATCGTTTATAGATGTGTGAACTGAATTTCGTTTCGCTTTAAGTCGCACACTTTAAAAAATACAGCAGTTTAAACAAAACTGTCAAAGATGAATTTTTTCAAATTTCAAGATTTTTAATTCTGCTTTGTACATCGATGTAACATTCGCAGGCGAATGTCCCGAACCACAAGAAACGATTCTAAACACGACTGAGCATGTATATTTGACATATCTTAAAGCTTGTCACTTTTAAATTTTTCGCTTCAACATCGAAATCGATCTATCTTCGCTTAAAGACTTTGAACGCACTTAAAAATGTGTTTTTAATATATATTAATGTGAATCTGAAGCTGACTATAAGGAATTAATTTTTTTAATACCGAAAATGATAGTACGTCGATCGCTCGCGTCGTCAGTCGAAAAATCAAAAATTCAATTTTTCCCCAAATTGAAAATAACGCAAATCCAAATCAGCAGTCTTATTAAGAATCGTTTATAGATGTGTGAACTGAATTTCGTTTCGCTTTAAGTCGCACACTTTAAAAAATACAGCAGTTTAAACAAAACTGTCAAAAATAAATTTTTTCAAATTGAAAATAACGCAAATCCAAATCAGCAGTCTTATTAAGAATCGTTTATAGATGTGTGAACTGAATTTCGTTTCGCTTTAAGTCGCACACTTTAAAAAATACAGCAGTTTAAACAAAACTGTCAAAAATGAATTTTTTCAAATTGAAAATAACGCAAATCCAAATCAGCAGTCTTATTAAGAATCGTTTATAGATGTGTGAACTGAATTTCGTTTCGCTTTAAGTCGCACACTTTAAAAAATACAGCAGTTTAAACAAAACTGTCAAAAATAATTTTTTCAAATTGAAAATAACGCAAATCCAAATCAGCAGTCTTATTAAGAATCGTTTATAGATGTGTGAACTGAATTTCGTTTCGCTTTAAGTCGCACACTTTAAAAAATACAGCAGTTTAAACAAAACTGTCAAAAATGAATTTTTTCAAATTGAAAATAACGCAAATCCAAATCAGCAGTCTTATTAAGAATCGTTTATAGATGTGTGAACTGAATTTCGTTTCGCTTTAAGTCGCACACTTTAAAAAATACAGCAGTTTAAACAAAACTGTCAAAAATGAATTTTTTCAAATTGAAAATAACGCAAATCCAAATCAGCAGTCTTATTAAGAATCGTTTATAGATGTGTGAACTGAATTTCGTTTCGCTTTAAGTCGCACACTTTAAAAAATACAGCAGTTTAAACAAAACTGTCAAAAATGAAATTTTTCAAATTGAAAATAACGCAAATCCAAATCAGCAGTCTTATTAAGAATCGTTTATAGATGTGTGAACTGAATTTCGTTTCGCTTTAAGTCGCACACTTTAAAAAATACAGCAGTTTAAACAAAACTGTCAAAAATAAATTTTTTCAAATTGAAAATAACGCAAATCCAAATCAGCAGTCTTATTAAGAATCGTTTATAGATGTGTGAACTGAATTTCGTTTCGCTTTAAGTCGCACACTTTAAAAATACAGCAGTTTAAACAAAACTGTCAAAAATGAATTTTTTCAAATTGAAAATAACGCAAATCCAAATCAGCAGTCTTATTAAGAATCGTTTATAGATGTGTGAACTGAATTTCGTTTCGCTTTAAGTCGCACACTTTAAAAAATACAGCAGTTTAAACAAAACTGTCAAAAATAAATTTTTTCAAATTGAAAATAACGCAAATCCAAATCAGCAGTCTTATTAAGAATCGTTTATAGATGTGTGAACTGAATTTCGTTTCGCTTTAAGTCGCACACTTTAAAAAATACAGCAGTTTAAACAAAACTGTCAAAAATGAATTTTTTCAAATTGAAAATAACGCAAATCCAAATCAGCAGTCTTATTAAGAATCGTTTATAGATGTGTGAACTGAATTTCGTTTCGCTTTAAGTCGCACACTTTAAAAAATACAGCAGTTTAAACAAAACTGTCAAAAATAAATTTTTTCAAATTGAAAATAACGCAAATCCAAATCAGCAGTCTTATTAAGAATCGTTTATAGATGTGTGAACTGAATTTCGTTTCGCTTTAAGTCGCACACTTTAAAAAATACAGCAGTTTAAACAAAACTGTCAAAAATAAATTTTTTCAAATTGAAAATAACGCAAATCCAAATCAGCAGTCTTATTAAGAATCGTTTATAGATGTGTGAACTGAATTTCGTTTCGCTTTAAGTCGCACACTTTAAAAAATACAGCAGTTTAAACAAAACTGTCAAAAATGAATTTTTTCAAATTGAAAATAACGCAAATCCAAATCAGCAGTCTTATTAAGAATCGTTTATAGATGTGTGAACTGAATTTCGTTTCGCTTTAAGTCGCACACTTTAAAAAATACAGCAGTTTAAACAAAACTGTCAAAAATAAATTTTTTCAAATTGAAAATAACGCAAATCCAAATCAGCAGTCTTATTAAGAATCGTTTATAGATGTGTGAACTGAATTTCGTTTCGCTTTAAGTCGCACACTTTAAAAAATACAGCAGTTTAAACAAAACTGTCAAAAATGAATTTTTTCAAATTGAAAATAACGCAAATCCAAATCAGCAGTCTTATTAAGAATCGTTTATAGATGTGTGAACTGAATTTCGTTTCGCTTTAAGTCGCAC